AAACAGCAGTCTGACTGACAACCACAAGAACATGCAAGTTGTTCGCTGGGGGCACCCTTAAGGCAATCAATCAAGCCCCTTCAGGACAAAACCCCTTCCAAGCTGGCGACTACATTGGTCTATTGATGAGAGAAAGTGGGGGAAAAGCAGCAATGAAGATGTGGGCTGAGTCCAACCATGTTCAAGAGTCTCCCATCAACCTGGAATGAGACCTGGTTGGCCAGCAATGTGGTGAGACCTGGGGACTCCTAAGCCCATGGATAGGGACATAGCCAGAGGACTACAAGTGGATATTTGAAGCATCCAGCTGATAGGAAGCAAGAGGAGATGCACAAGAACACCCATACTTGCAGATAGTACCAATCTGACCTAGCCTCAATGGCTGATCAACTAGAGGAAGAAAGTAGAGAAAAAGAATAGTAATCTGCTACAATTTGATGAATTTGACCTATACTTATGGATGTAGTAGCTTAAAAAAAGAGGGAACGAATTTTCACAGCAAGGATCATTCCCACCCCCCTGTACACAGGATTGACAGGGATGGACAACGTAGACATTGGCTACCTAAAATGGTGGTGGTGGGGAGGGCCTATAAAGCACGAAGTGGCTGGCTTACAAAATTTCAAGAGGGAGTTTAGTTTGAGGGGGCGAGGGAAGGTAGAATCTCCACCGAATGTTTTTCAACCTGCCTAGATGGGACTGGTGAAAGGAGATGGGGATAAGACTCTTGCTGTACAATAGTGAATAATTATTTTCAGGACTGACTGTGATTGTTGTAAATATAGACATTTTGCAACAAAAGGAGGGAAGTGGTTGATCTTGCAGTCCAAGAGTAGAGGACCCTGGGACCATCAAGGGAGAAAAGCGGAGTGTGGAACCCTTTCCAGAGAAGCAGCTAGGCCAGAGATGGAGGCAGAGATGATGATGTGGAGAGGTGGAGCAGTTGGGGACTCTAGACTAATGGAGGAAGAGGGGTTGTGGGCTGGCAGCCGGGAGGCAGGCTTGCAGGATATGCCCTTTGGTTGTTCGAATGATTATATATTCCTGAGTGCTTCAGTGTACAAATAAAAAAACCAGAGGGAATAGAAGCAAACTGTTTAATGATGATGCATAGAGGGGATTAAAAAAATAAAAAAAGAAGTGTGGCTTTACAATACATTGGACATTTACAGCTGATCATGGATAATCACATCACATCACATCACATCATAGGTGTTGATTGCATATTAGATCTCATCCTGGAGGTGATAGCAACATCTTAACTGCTAAACCACTGAGAATCTTGGCCCATCAAGTTGACACAAAACCTTAACTATCACACTTCTCCAAAGGCACTGCATATTCTTTTAGTGAATGTTATGCATTGAATAGAGTGCTGGTGGCACTGTAGGATAAGCACTGGGCTATTAACCACAAGGTCAGCAGTTCAAGTATACTAGCCACTGTATGGAGATGATTTTCTGCTTCCATAAAGAATTAGATTCAGAAACCCTACACAAGGTCATGATGAGTCAGAATGGACTCAACAGCACCTAACAACAACATGCTTTGAGTATATTTATGCAAATGCAGTGACTATAGCCTATTATGCAAATAGATGACTAGCCTATTGAGAGGGAATTGATCAGTTCTTGACCCTGGTGGGAAGGCTATGTCTTGAACTTGACCAAGAATTTCCTTTATATATGCAGCCAACCCCAGAGAGGCTGGCAGACAAAAAGCAGAAAAGGCAAGCAGCAGGAGTGGGGAAGAGTATGATGCTCCTGAAAAAGAGCTGAAACATGGGGTGTTAACACTGAAGGCAGTGGGAAGCCTGAAATGGGCCCTGCAGTCAAGTACAACACTATGGCAAGGAGGCTGGAGGAGAGAGGCCTGTTCTGAGTGACCCAAGAGAAAGCCAGTCCTCAAGGGGCTGGGAGTAGGCCAACATGGTTGAGAGAGGGTATGCAGTGAGAAGGGTGTGATAATTTGCATGGCTGAGAAGTTGAGAAAGCTGTCTTACACTGAAGATGGGAGCAATCTGCTTTCCACTTTAAGGTATCTTCCAGACTTTGTACCTACATGATTCCTGATCTTTATCCCAAGTTGTAGCCTGCTGATTCAGATCTGCAGTTGTAGTCTATTACTTTCCTAATAAAGTATGGCCTGTAGTTCATACTGGTCACAATAGTTCAGTGTGGTCACTGCAACAAATGGACTGAACCCCGCAGACAAGTGGAGAGTGCTGTGGGAGAGACGGAAGGTCTCAGAATGGTAAAAAGCTCGGGAGAGTGGAAATATGCCTGACCTCCAACTCACAGGGATCAGCTTTTAGCTGATCGAAATTTGTATTCTCTCCCCCTAAAGTTAGACAGGTTCCAACATCACGACTACCATTTTACAGCAGCCAAAGTCAAATTATTATTTTTCTACCTGGCAAGCTTCAAGCCTAGTCACCAGTCTCGTCCTTTATTGTATCATGAATATTTTAACACTACTTTCCTGTAATGGGTAGATTCTGACATAAATAATTCTTTGAAGAGATGCCTACTACATAAGCTCTTGCTTTTTCTGAGGACGTATATGTGTGCACGCATTTTGGGATACTAATCAATTTGAACTTTTTTCATTCAAAACTAAAATATATATACTTTTCTTATATAGAAAAAGCCAGAATCTATGTAAGGCAGAAACCTGTCATAGAAGGAAAACTCACGTATTTTCTACTAAATTGAGTGACAGAAAAGTGCTATAACTGAATCCTGTCAAAAGCGAAAAGTTGTAAGACCTAGAAAAACTACACAGTCCATTGAGTTACAGCTCTCACTGTAGTATGCTTCAAAGATAAAACCCCATTAGTAATGTTGGGAGTAAACTTTATTACTAGGATTTATATGTACCTAGAGTCCTGGTGTGGCACTGTGGTCTAATGCTTCAGACTGCAAAGTCATTTGAACCGCAAGGTCGGTGGTTCAAGTTCACCAGCTGCTTCTCAGAAACCCTATACAGGGTTGCTATGGGTTGGAATTGACTCAACGGCACTTAACAACAACAGAGATAAATGAATCCTGGTGTAGCACTATGGGTTAATGCACTGGACTGCAAAGTCGATTTGAACTGCAAGTTCGGTGGCTGAAGCTTACCAGTTGTTGCTAAGTGCTGCCGAGGAATTCCCAACCCATAGCAACCCTGTATATAGGGTTTCTGAGGAGCAGCTGGGGAGCTTGAACCACCGACCTTGTTGGAAACTCAATATAGGGTCACAATGGGTCGGAACCGACATGATGGCACTTAGAAAAAAAAGATAAATGTAGTACCTGCAGATAGATAGGAGGACTAATGGAAAAGAAATTCTTAGGAAAACTGTATAGGTGTGTGACACTTAACGTCTATGATGTATTCTGTGAAATAAGACTTTAGTTGATTTGGATGTTATGGGAACACCATTATTACAAAGTACCTATGTTTGTATATATTTGATACACATCTATCAAAGTAACTTCTTTACAAGCTATTCTGACTCTCCCAAGTATGTGGAGCATTGCACCTGCAACTGGCTGTCTCTGGACACACAACACTCTCTGAGGAGCCTGGTTGGCATTGGGAGCACTGAGGGACTAGGCTGAGTGGCTATACTCCAATGTCTCCCCCTCAGGCATCTACCCATGGGATTGGCAGGCAGGGCATGTGCCAATAGCTGCCATAAAGCTACAACATCTGTGACTCATGCCACTGCAGCTCGGGGGCTGCAAGCCACATGGGTTGTTGGGCTGCCATCCATTGGAGTTGAGCTATGGCTGCCATGACACTCAACACTGACCCACCTCCTAGCACCCCTTCCAAGCAAGTACTTCTTTTCCACCCCATAGATGAATATGCAGTCAAACACTGCCCTAACAGACTGAAGACAGCAACGGAGCACATACCTGTACATCTACCTCCAATACCTCTTAGGCGCCCTCTGCTGGCTATCATTTAAATAAAGTAGAAAAACATTTTGTACACAAAAATGCAAACACATTTAGTATAAAATAACTATAAACTTACGATTTAACATTAGAAAAGTTAAGAACTTAAATATATTCCACAAGTTGCATTAGAAAAAGCTACCACATTAATTCTACTTAGTTTCAATATTAAGGTTTATTTTTTTTTGTTCCAGAGTGAGGTTAAGTAACAATTTAAATAATTATCAGGATGATAATTTATCAATTCAGCTAAAACATTACTGCTTAAAAGTGGCTAACTAGGAAACATTTTGTATGTAATAAATATGTTTTATGTTTAGGTTAACAGGCACCATCTTGAGAGCAGAAAAAAAAATTAACCAATAAATAAATTACATTCAAGAATAAAAGATGTATATATCCAGAGTATGGTATATCCTATTTTTTCTTCATGTAGCACCCAAATTTCCAAAATGCCTGGAAAACATCTCTCAAAATAGAACGTATACCTTAAGTCATAAATATAAAGGCCAAGAGGAAAAACTTAATTTCAGATAAAATTTATAGTTTAATATTCTTAATTCCCCATTCAATAAAATATCAATTGCCAATTTATTAAAGGTAGATGAATTATGATCTGTTAGTGCTGAAAAATCTGAAATATATATTCTTAAAAATCACTCTTTCTGAAAGTATTTAAAATAGTGCATCTCTGGTGGCAAACCTGAAAATTACCAAGCATTTTATTTCCTATTTCTCATATCTCCAACCCGACCCCCATCCTTTTACCCTTAACATCCATCAGCATTTTTTAAAAAAGGCAAATACACTTATATCACAAACACCAAACACTGACAATGCTCCTTGGTAAACAAGGAAATCTCAGGACAGTCCAATTCTACAGCTTTGCTCCCAACATGTGGCATAGACGAAATGACATGGAAGATCAATAGGGAGGAAAAAAACAATCAATGGCCCTTATTGATGCATTCAGAATGCTCCTGAGAGTCCATAACTGTTTGAGACTGCTGATGTAATCCTGAAGAAAGTTTCCACAGATTTCGCAGACAAGTATCAGAGAATAAGTCTTTGATTGATGATTTTTCTATTTATTTCTGCCAACGCGACTGAAAACACGAAAGCCTTTTCATCAGAGAGATTAGCATAGATGTCAATTTCCTTTTCCTGTTTCTCTGTTAAGAAAAAAAGGGAAAAAAGCTTAATATAAGTAGCAGTAGCTAGAATAATTTTTTAAATTTCAAAAGCATTTAAGTAATAATATGTATATTACTTTATTGTACATATTAATATTATAAAATATACTATATAGAACTTAAATTTTAAAAATCAAAGGAATAATTGAAGTGCCAATAATTACTAAAGCTAAATGGAGTCTAAATACACTTTTATACACACAGTTTAATGCCTACGTACATTTCTATTGTTATTGTGTGTCTCAGAATAAGAACCTCAAATACTTTTCTACTCACTAGAGTCAATCAAAGTGACCTTTTTTTACCCTAAACATAGTCCCTTCTGAATATTAATGGTGAGTTCATGACTATATTTACTTCTTTACTTTAGCCCTGCTACAGTGAATAAGAACTGTATTTCCATATCAAATAAAAAGTTATCAATATACTATTCCCTAGATAAAATAAGTAAACAAAACAGAAAGAACCATCTTAAAATTACCATGTTGTTGTTGTTCAGTACCTGTAGACTTTCTGAGGAGCAGCTGGTGAGTTTGAACCACCGACCTGGCAGTTCAAACGGCTTTGAAGTCTGGTGCACTAACCCACAGTGCCACACCAGGACTCCAAAACATTATGTAATTAGGCTTTTTATCTCTTCCTGATTACAAATTTAATCCAAGTTGATGGTAGAAAATTTTAAAAATACAGAAAAACAAAGAAAACAATCCCCTATCATGGAATGAACCAGTTAAAAATCACATTGAACATGACTTAATGACTCAGATCATTTGTACTTATTACAAAATACAGAAATCTGTCTTCTTTTTCTTCATCTAATCTCCAAATATACTTTTTTGATATTGGCGCCTTCTAATTTTTTTACCTCCCTATCTTGAAGTAATATTTTTATCTGATGCTGCTTGCTGGCTTTGACATTATTTATGGACTTTTCTCCACGGAAAATCAGGGTTTTATTATTTACATCTCTGGCAAGTACACCACCAAAGTCACTCATCCCATTTCCGCATTCTTCCATGATAGTTAAAAATTGAGTAAGATTCATTTTCAATGTTTACAGTACGAGTATATAAATGATTTTCACTTTTCCTTTTCTGTACACTTTGTTTTTCTTGCAGTGATTCATTTTATTTACTTAGTTTTCTATAAACCCATTTCTAATTCAAATCAAACTTCCTTTAATTATATAAATCTTCTTTCAGACTGTTTATACACATTTGGTATTTTATCAGTTTTATCTTTTTGAAGAAATCTCTCCGAGTCTTCTGACCTTTGACCTGTTTTCCAGGCCTGTTGCATAATTATCAACTTGAGAGCTTTCTTCAACATCATGCTAGAGATTCTCCTCATCTCCTCTTGAGTTGGACCCTCTGTGTCAAAATGCCAAGATCATTTCTTGGTTCACTTCTTCATATTGGTGGCATTATCTTGTAATAGCTTCCTGAGAAACGGAGTATGGAAAGCAAATTTTTTGAGACCTTGAATCCCAAAAGTGGCTTCAGTCTACCTTCACACTAATTCAGTTTGATTGAGTTCAGACTTCTAGGTTCCCTCTCAGGATCTAAACTGTTTTCCAACAACAAGTTGCTGCTGCTGAGAAAATCCAAAATCTTTCTTAAGTTACTTTAAAGATGATTGTTATCGTTACATACACAGATCTTAAGTACACAGTTAGGCAAATGTATACACCCACAATACAATCAATATAGAAAATTCCACAACTGTTTCTCATACTCCTTCCCAGTCAATCCTTCTCCACCCCTCACACTGCAACCATGTTCTGATTTCTATCAGCATAGATTGTCTTGAACTTTATAATATAAACACCATCATACAATAGGCACTCTTTTGGGTCTAGCCTCATTTGCTAAAATGATATGATGCTTTTGAGATTCATCCATGCTACCCATAACACCAGTACTTTGTTCCCTGCTGGGCAGTATTCCTTTGTATTCATTCTAATACCACCTTGATTCTTTTTTCCTCTGAAAACTTGAATTTTCTCTTGAATCAAAGAGATACAAAATGTGATGGTACACCTGGTATAACTTCTATTTTTATCCATCTATTAGTGCTGGGCATTGTAGGCCCTTTCAATCTGGAAATTCAATCAAATTTGGGGAATTTCTTGAACTATTTCATTGATGACTTCCTCTTTTCTATCTTTTCCTGAAACGTCAATTATTTAAAGATGTTAGATCTTAGAACAGTTCTGTTTCTTACTTTTTTCTTTCTTTTTTTTTTTTGCTCTACTTTATTTTGAAACCTTCTACTAAAGTTTTTCATTTCTGCTAATCATATTTTTAAGGCTTGTGTTCCAAATGCTTTTTGACCTCTACAATTTCCTTTTAAATATTATCATGACTACAGTATCTTCTCTTGCGAAAGATAACTGTTAAAAAAATTTTTTTTACGTTATTCTGTTGCCTGTTGTTTTGGTCTGTTTTTCAAACTACATACTTTTCTTCCAGGTATCTGGGTGATTCTTGGTAAAATGCTCATATTCCAAAACAGGACACCAAATATGCTGATTAGAATCTCAAACAAATGTGGAATTGAACTGTGGTCATCACTTTAGGATGATCTGACTGGGCCTATTGAAAATATACTGAGTTTCTACTTTTTCTCTTGGGGTTTCTGATTCCCTTAGACTACTTCAATCTCTCACCTGGAAGATTCACCATGCCTAATTTTCACTTAAGCGTCCTGATTTTATTATAGAACTCGATCGTCAATGGTACTCCTGGTACCCTTCAATTTTACTACAGAAGCCTACCTTCAATGGTGCTCCTGTACCTGGTACAATGCCTGGTACTCCCTATACCCAAGATTCTCTGTTTTGTCTAATCCTTGACAAAGGATAAGCTTGGGGGTGGGGAGGGGTTATGGAAGAAGCAGAGGTAAACAACCCTACTGAGATATTCCTAAACACTTTTTAATCTTTGGATTTTCAGTCCCATCTTCACCTCACTTCTAGACTAACTAATGCACAAATTCTTGACCCTGTGGTAATTCTGTAGTACAAAGTGTGTTCCCTCACAAAAGGAGATTCTAGTTTATATTTTGAGGATCTGCAAGGGCAATTAGTCCCAGTTTCCTGAATTTTGTTGCTGCCTTTTCTTCACCATTTGTTTTTGTAGGACTTTGTCCTTCAAGTTTTTTTTAAAAATTCCTTTACTAAGATTTACTAAAAAAATGGTCATTTTACTGAAATTTTGGAAGAAAGCAGAATTACATGTTTATTCAATCTAGTATCTTTAAAGTTTAATTCTATTCTGTAACTTCATTAAAAGGGTATTCATAAATGCCCAAAATATATTAATAAAAATGTTACTCTTGTATTGTCGAGTTGGTTCTGACTTACAGCGACCCTGTATAGGGTTTCTGAGAAGTGACTGGTGGGTTTGAGCAACATTCTATAGTGCTATCCCCACAGTGCCACACCAGGACCTCTACATTACCAATACCCATGATAATTACACTCACACGTATAAAATGGAGGTCTTAGACCCACGAAAAAAGAATGTTTATTTAATTACTTGTTTTTATTTTATTAACTACTTGTGTTTATTTTATTACTTGTGTTTATTTATTTTATTATATCTAGTGAATTTTCCTTTTCCAAAGCACCTAAACATTGTTAAGAGTTTCCTCAACTTACATTAAAATAAAGTTCATAAATGCTCCAGATTTTTTAAGTGTCCTATTAACAGGGAAGGACCAAAGTGTCAATGAAAAAGAGGACGCCCCTCAATGAGATGGCCTGACACAATGGCTATAAGAGTAGGCTCAAACGCAGGCGTGCTTCTGAGGGTGGTACAGGACTGGGCAGTGTTTCGTTCTGTTGTACACAGTGTTACTATGAGTGAGAACTGCCTTGATGACTTTTAACAACATGTGCAGTGAATCAATAAAAACTGAATTAAAGTAAATTGCTACTTAGCACTAAGAAGAGTAATGATAGAAATCTATCTTAAAATATAGGGGCATTTCATAAATTTTTATTTCTTATTCATATTATATTTAGAGAACAATGGTACATCAAGGCTTGGCAAACGACAGCCTGTGGGTAAAATCTGTCCTGCCATTTCTTTATAAAATAAAGTTTTCTGAAACACAGTCATGTCCATTTATTTCCACATTCATTGTCTATGGATGCTTTCCAAATACCGTGGCAGAGCTGTGCAGCTGTACAAGGACTGCAGGGCTCACATATATTTATTTACTACTTGGTTCATTACAGATTACTGACTCCAGGTCTAACTGAAAAGATGCTAGTTTATACTATAAAAATGGCTTCAACCACTTGCCTCCAATCTCAGTTTGCAACAAAAGGAAATAAAGCCTAATTTACTCTGGAAATAGCTTTAAAAAAAAAATTCTGTAATAAACTGAAAATACCTGAAAAAATTAAGGTCGAATATACGTTTCTTTTCTTTTTCAACTGATCAAGAAATAAAAGTTAAACTTTAGATATACTTTAGAGTCCTAGCAGAGCTATACAAACTTCATTTCCTGACTTAATAGCAGCTGTTATCGATTTTCTCATCTCCTGTCACCTGCCAACAGAATCATTCTTTCTCCTTTTGGGGGTTTAATAGTCCCTTTACATCAACGAAAAAGAATGTTCTATTTTCTGGGCCAAGTAGTATTTCCCTCTTTTCTTTATTTTTGCCTTTGTTGAGTTTCCTTTATCCAATTTCCCTTCTGAAGGACTCTTTGGCAAAGATTTTTCTGACCATCCCATTGTTAAAGAAGTACATTCAAACTGAGAAGCTATCGCACTCACTGAGAAGCTATCACACTCTTTTGAAAAGCATAACAGAAGAGAGAGAAACAATAGTAAAATTATCCAAGGAACTAAGGAGTTAATGAAGCCTTCACAGCCCTGATGGTAATCACAAGGTTGATAGTAGTTCATAAACTCCTAGTTGCTCCTCATGAGAAAGATAAGCCCCTTCTGCTTCTATACAGATGAACAATCTCGGAAACACTAAGCAGGGTCGTCATGAGTTGGAATCCACTCGATGGCAGTGGGTTTTTGTAAGTACAGTTTTCATAAATTGTATTTCTTTAAATGACCCAGCATTAAGAAACACTAGTTTGATAAAAGATAGGGACAACTATGCAATTAGTTATTTTCCCTAAAAGTACTAACTTTATTCAAAAGTAGTAACTTTATTCAAGCAAAAGCAAATAAAGCAGAAAGAAATGGTGAACAGGTTAAAAACAAAACAAAACTCTCAAATGTCTAGAATAGGAGAAATTTACATTTATGCAGAAAGCACTGAAGTACTTAAAATGGAGTGTCTAGCCAAAGCATAACTCACAAGTATGCTATTAGAAATGCATTCCACTGCACATGAAATCATTCTGAAGGGGAGTTGTGGGGTTTTTTTTTTTAAGTAATTATAAAGAGTAGCTAATTTAAAAAAAAGGATAAAAAAAAATTTACTGGCTTGAAACTCAATTTTAAAAAGATATACATGAGTCTATGGGGGCTCATTTTATTAATCTTCCTATTGTTGCATATGTGTGAAAATATATTAAAGTTTTGTTTTGTTTTTTAAAACATGTATAAATCAAAGAAAGAGAAGTCTTAGTTAATATTAACAGTTAATGACAATGAGTAGATATACTATCAGAAACAAGGAGACAAGCTATTAGCAGAAACATGCAGATTCTCTGGACCTAGAAGAATTTACCCAATCAAAAGCTGCCTCAAAGTAGGAAGCACACAAATCTCTCAAGGAGCAATTTAAAAATTCATAATGAAGACCACTGTGAATAGTAAAAAATTTTAAACTCATGATATAAGAGTTTAAAACAGGTCTGAATAGACAGACCTTGGTGTTCTCTTAAAAAAATAAAAGGTACAACCACTTTAACAGGCTCCTCCAGTATGTCATACATAAATTATCTCTGAACTCTACTACCATTCGTTTATAGCAAGTTAAGACTTTACCTTTATACCTTATGTTTCCAATAAGAATTAAATTTCTGTGATTTTTAAAAAGCATCTACCATAGAGGAAATACTTTCAAACTAAAATCTGAGTAGTGATTTTAAATTAAATCTAGGAGCTAGCAAACACTTTCTTCACTACAATATCTAATTAAGATCTCAGATAAATATAATAATTGGGGGAAAAAACTGCTTGCATTTATATTCATACCTCTTTCTTCCTCATGCTTTTTGGCAGATGCACTTTTAGGTCTTCCTCTTCCTCGTCTGATATGATCTGAATGGCTGTTACTTCGAGACCTCTTTCTGTTTTCTAAATCCTTACTTACTGTAGAATTTATCTTCTCTCGCCTAACTCTCTCTGTTCGCCTCCTCTTGGCCTCATGCTTGTTTTCTGTATGGATGAATAAAAGTGATATATTTTAGGGCTTAGTCAAAACTGTTTGCCCAAGTTCTCATTTTCTTCCTTTATCTATCTTTCTATAATTCACTGCCTAGCATATTTTATAAAACTGCAACCATAACATGTCATAAACATAAGAGAAAAAGAAATTCAACAGAATTCAGATTCACATAACATATGATACAGGAAAACTCTTGAAAGAGAAGACAAGCTTCTTCATTTTGCAGCTTTAATTTCAGGTCCTATAAATTCACACAATTTCACAGCAACCTTTCTGCCTTTTCCCCCTTCTGCGTCTAAGCTAAAATGAAGTATTAGAAAAGAAAAACAATATCCATTTCTTTTGGTTTCTACCTAAAAGCCAGGTTGAAATGTCAAATATGCAAATGAAAATTAAAAACTGACCTTAGTTATAATATACTAGAGTAAGTCAAAAAGTATTGCTACTGGATTTCCAATTCACAGGTTTATTCTACATAAAACATGCCTAACCAAGTCTTTGCAGTCAGTAGATGACTGAAGAAAAGTTCTCTACGTAATATACCTGTCTTCGTCACAGAGCACCTTAAAAAGAAAGGTCCCATCAAAACAGTGGCTTCCAAGGGGATCTGCATGCTGGCCCAGTTAAATTTAAGGCAGACAGGTCAGCTCAGGTTACGGAGACTGTTCTTTGACCCTCAATATGTAATCTTGATGGCTTTTGTCAAAGGACACAGGACAATCAGAGAAACTTATAAGGAAGTCTTAAGAAAACTGAAAACTGCACTGCTGATAAAAGGCCAGGAAAGCTGTACTATCAATGAAGTGTTTCCATTACGACAACACACTTGTGCTTCTTCTTCTCTAGACTAGCAAGGGTTGTCCTATGGGAATTTCACTGGGAAACCTTACCTCATCTACCCTACAGCCCTGATCTGCATCCTTTACATTTCTTTTTGTTCCCCAAACTCAAAGAACATTCAGAAGGAACACAATTTGAGTTCCTTGAGGATGCCAAAACTGCAGTTTTGACATGGTATAGACTGCAGAACACAGAATTCTTCAGAGAAGGGGTGTGTGCTATAGAATCGGTTCTGACTAATAACAACCCTGTATAGGGTTTTTGAGAGCAGCTGATGGGTTTGAACTACTGACCTTGAGGTTAGCAGTCCATTTGTTTATCTTACAGTGCTACACCCAGAGTTGGGAACACTGCCTTCAGAAGTGCATAGAGACCTAGATGAAGGATATGGTGAGAAAAAAATAGTTTCACATTTTGGTATTCTTAATAAAGGTTTCTATGATATTGTAGCAATACTTTTTGACCTACCCTCATATTACAGTTACCAAAAACAAAGCATCCATGTTATCTATGAAAAATATAAAAACAAACCCTAAGGAGATGAGTAGTTTTCACTTTAACCTTGTTGTTGTTGTTGTTAAGTATCGTGGAGTTGGTTCTGACTCATAGTGACCCTGCACAGGGTTTCCGAGGCTGCAAATCTTTACGGGAGCAGAAAGCCTCATCTTTCTCCCATGGAACAGCTGGTAGTTTTGAACTGCCGACCTTGAGGTTAGCAGCCCGATTCGTAACCACTATGCTATCAGAGCTCCTTACTGTAGCCCTAGATGAAATAATTTCAGACACACTAAAAGCATGTGGGATGCAATAGGGGAACTTTACTCATTATATAATTCAATTAATGCAAGAAGCCACCATCCTACTCCAAACAAATCAAGATAAGATATAAAAAACAAACATACACACATTTGTCTTAACACATACCTAAAATTCAAAAACAAAAGTGAATTTCCCAAATCCTCAAAATTATAATGGTAATAGGACAAAACAAATAGGAAAATTCACACTCCAATAACTGCATGGATCAACTGGGAAGACTATAATAAAACAGGCTTAATAGGAGTTTTTGTTTTTGAGATAAAATACTAACAGTTATCTCCAAATACTATGTCCTTACAGGATTAGTTAATTTCAGATTTCAGACAGGACATATACCAATGATGCAAGCATTACACCAGATTGCAAAAAAGCTATCAAAGGCTTTTCTTGTTAAAGAAATTAGGAGCTAGCTTGATGAGTATCAGCAAAAAAGTAAGTGTAATAAGTGAAACATATCAAATATATTCAAAACAATATTAAAAACAAAACCTATAACCATAGGAAGATGCTAAAGAATCAACTCACATTTTGATATATTAAATATAGGGAAAGATAAAGAAAGTCTTTTCCAATCAAATGTGATCACTGAGTAATCAAAGGGTAAATAAAGAGAAGGTTCTCATTTTAAAAGATCTAATCTTTGCCTATTCAACCTCTTCTCTTACCACTCACCATTAATTTCACTACACTTCCAACACTGTTGTTGTTGGTTCTGACTCATAGCAACCGTACACACAAGAGAATGAAACAATGCACAATCCTCACAATTGTTAAGCTTGAGCCCTTTGTTGCTGCCATTGTGCTCACCCATCTTGTTGGGGTCTTCCTCTTTTACGATGACCCTGCACTTTAGCAAGCATGATGTCCTTCTCCAGGGACAGGTGCCTCCTGATAATATATCTTAAGTTGTTGTTGTTGGTAAGTACCATGGAGATGGTTCCAACTCACAGTGACCATGCACAGGGTTTCCGAGGCTGTAAATCTTTACGGGAGCAGAACGCCTCATCTTTCTCCTGTGGAACCGCTGGTAATTTCGAACTGCTGACCTTGAGGTTGACAGCCCGACTCGTAACCACTATGTTACCAGAGCTCCTTTACATCTTAAGTATGGGAGACTAATTCTCTTCATCCTGGCTTCTAAGAGCATCTGGCTGCACTTATTCCAACACAGATTTATTTGTTTTTCTAGTTGTTGTTGTTAAGTGGTGTTTAATTGGTTGCAACTCACAGAGATCCTGTATAGGGTTTCTGAGGAGTGGCTGGTGAGTTTGAACCACTGACTTTGCAGTTCAAACCAATCATGAGGTCCAGTGCTTATCCTACAGCACCATACCAGGGCTCCATTCTTCTAGGAGTCCATGGTATTTTTTAATATTCTTCTCCAACACCATAACTCAAATGCATTAATTCAAAAGAATTATTCAATGTCCAACTTTCACATGTATATGAAGCTGTTGAAAATACCATGGCTTACCTTAGTCATCCAACTGACATCTTTCCCCTTGAACACTTTAAAGAGGTTTTTAAGCAGATTTGTCTAATGCAATGCATTGTTTGATTTCCTGACTGTTGCTTCCATGAGTGTTGATAGTGGATCTAAACAAACCGAAGTCTTTGACAATCACAATGTTACTTACTGGTCCAGTGGTGAGGATTTCTGTTTTCTTTATATTGAGGTACAACCCCTACTGAAGGCTGTGGCCTTTGATCTTCATCAGTAAGAATTTTAAGTCCTCTTCTCTTTAAGTAAGCAAAATTGTATCATCTGCATATTGCAGGTTGTTAATGAGTCTTAATCCAATCCCGATGCCACAGTCTTCTTCAAATTATCAAGTTTCTTGGATCATTTGCTCAGCATACAGACTGAATAAGTATGATGAAAAGATACAATGCTAGTATATACTTTTCTTGAATTTCATTGTCTCCTTGTTCTGTTCAAAAAACTGCCTCTTGGCCTATGTGCATGTTCCTTATGAGTAAAACTAAGTGTTCTGGAATACTCACTTCTCCTCAATGTTGTCCATAACTTGTCATGATCCACACAATTAAAAGTTGTAGTGTAGTCAATAAAGCACAGATAAACATCTTTTTTGGTAATTTCTGCTTTCAGCCAAGATCCATCTGATATCAGTAATGGTAACTTTAGACAACCTCCAATTTTCCTAGATTCATACTGCATACATTCCATGTTCCAGATTATTAACGGATGTTTACAGTTGTTTCTCTTTTTGAGTTGGGCCCCATGAGCAAATGAAGGTAGTGAAAGTTCTACTCCATTCACAGCATCCTGATCCACTCTACTTTGAGGCGGCAGTTCTTCCTTAGTCATATTTTAAGTGCTTTCCAACTTGAGGGCCTCATCTTCTGACACTGTATCTGACGATATTGTGACAATATTCCAACATGCCTTTCTTTTAGGTCTTGCCACACTGCTGGACAACCAGATCTCTACCTGAGTTCACAGGAGTCTACTGAACATTGTAGGGCTTAGCTCGCAGCTTCATTGCTGTTTTTTCCTCACTTCCCCTTATCGCTGATGAACGTGGTCACCAGTTAGAGCACGTATTCCCATTGAGTCTTAGTCTTGGAAGGGGGTTTGCCCTGAGGGGACCTGACCACTTGGCTTGATGTCCCCTGGGCGAGCAACTTGCTTGTTCTTGTAGTAACAGTCGGATTGCTGTTACTGTTTTGTATCTTTCCTGTTGGTCTTTCTTTCAAGTATCTTCTGTTCTTCTAGCTGCTCCAGTTGGTCTGCTTGTCCTTTCAAGTAGAAATTTCCCACCTCAGAAGATTCTGGAGGCAGTTCAAGATTCCACTTATCAGACCAAGTTACTTTCTAAAATCTACTACTTCTGATGGTGCTACTGCAACTACTACTATAATGTTCTATAATCTATTATTTTAAGGAGCTCTGGTAGCGTAGTGGTTACGATTTGGGTTGTGAACCGCAAGGTCAGCAGTTCGAAACTACCAGCAGTTCCGTGGGAGAAAGATGAGGCTTTCTGCTCCTGTAAAGATTTACAGCCTCAGAAACCCTGTGCAGGGTCGCTATAAGTCGGAACCGACTCCACAGCACTTAACAACAACAATAATCTATTATTTGCTAACACGCACCATTATTTTTCCCATTAAACTAAAAGCTCTGTGAAAGTAGGAACCTGATTCATAGAAGCTAACATTATCTACATATATGAAATACTCAGTAAATATTTCTAAAATAATGAAAAGATCGAGCACATACATTTTTCTTACCATCTCCCCAAAATCCTATTGAAAGGAAAGGAAATTTGGGAAGAAAAAAAAATAAAGCTGTAGTGTTGGAAACGAGGAA